GCATACCTATAATCAAGCTTACTTGAGGCACTTGGGTTGCTGAGGCAGCCTAGACTACAGAACAAGACCCTGTCTCAAAAAAAAAAAGCAGTATTATAGGGAAAGGGATATAGTTTAGTGGTAGAGTACTTATCTAACCAGGTCTGTGTTTGACTCTAGAACTGCCAAAGGGACAAAGGATTTTAAGAATTTGTTTGGAGGAAGCTAGAGAGATGGCTCAGTGGTTAAGAGCACTGGCTGCTCTTGCAGAGGACCCAGGTTCAAATCCCAGCACCTACATGGTGGCTAACAACCATTCGTAACTCCAGTTCCAAGGGATCCAACACCCTCTTCTGACCTCCAAGGGCATTGCATAACGTGGGTTGACTTACATATATGCAGGCAATACAATCATATACATAAAGTAAAATAAAATATATAATAAAAAAATTTGTAATGTGTCTCCCAGAGGCTCCAAGTAGCAGGTATTGATGGATAAATCTGAATGCCACATCTATCTCTGAATGGGATTCCAGTGAGTGCTGGACTAGCCTACACTTTGTTTTCCCCCATGTAAGGCTATGATGACAGAATCATTCTCGTCAGAATGCTGTTTGCGTTGGGACTTTATAGACCCAGGCTTAGGGAAAACCACACTCATGGTCAGGGAGCACTCTCTCTTTACTTGCCATTACTTGAGAATAGTCCCAGGAGGCTTCTTTCACTTTAATGAATGTTTATTGAGTCATCATAGGAGTGATAAGCGATTCTTAGAGTCCTGCCTTTTGAGGGTGTGAATTTTGTGCTCTGCAACATGTATTTGTAAGTATGCAGATGTTTTCCTTTTGTTACTTGTGCCAGTGCTACACAAATCCAGCTCAGGTCCTGCAGTCTTGGAAAAGTAAATAAAGGATACAGCAACCTTTCACTCAGCATCTTGCCACACCATACTTGTGGTTACCTACTGGCTGGTTCCACCTGTGCAGGCCTTAGAGAGGATGAAAGCAACAAGTGTGATGAGGATTTGAAGACACCTGTGAGAAGGGCATGCCAAGGTCATCCAGCAGAACCCTTGACTGCTTAATCTCACCAAGACTTCTCCTCTTCTGAGAAAGTCACAGCCTTTTCCTGTTCTTCCTTCTACTCTTGTCTATGCAGAGTTTAGAGCTAACTACCCTCTCAGGTGACCTCAGTTTGCCAGTAACCTTTACCTGGCAACATCGACCAGGCTGTATGCTTCCCATCCTTTCTTTCAAGCAGCTTTAGGGCTTTAAAAGTTTTAAACACGGTGTGCTGCTATAAAAATGGGGTCACGGGCTGGAGAGATGGCTCAGTGGTTAAGAGCACTGATTGCTCTTGCAGAGGACCTGGGTTCGATTCCCAGCACCCATGGCGGCTATGAACCGTCCTTAACTCCAGTTCCAGGGTAATCCAAAGCTCTCTTCTGACCTCCGTGGCATTGCATGACACAGGTGCACTCAGATGCAGGCAATACACTCATGCACATAAAATAAAAATAATAAATTTTAAAAAATGGGGTTACAAAACTGGTAATCTAAGCCAGGTGTGGTGGCACACAGCTTTAATCCCAGAATTTGGCGGGCAGAGGCAGGTGGATCTCTGTGAATTTGAGGCCACTGTGGTCTACATAGCAAATTCCAGGCCAGCTGGGACTGCAGGGAGACCTTGTCTCAAAAAGACCAAAACAAAAAAACCAAATCAAAACAAAAAACACAAGGCTGATAATCTCCCAGCTAGGGTTTCGGTTTGGATGAAATACAAAAATAATCCAGCAGAAGGTTGCCTACATAAAATGAAGTGATCTGATACAAAAACTGGTTCAAAGAGTTTGACTCAAGTTTTTTGTTTTTGTTTTTGTTTTTTGTCTTTTTTGAGATGAGTTTTCCTTGTAGCCCCAACTGTCCTGGAATGCTGGGATTAAGGGTGTGCACCACCATGCCCAGCCTTAGACTCAGTTTTTAAAATTAAAATGTGAGGCAAGAGGAAAAGTGACCTAGCAATGTTTTATAATTTTTAAAATAATAAAAGCTCCATTTTGTAAATGCGGGTTATAAATTTGCCTTTTCTTGGGGATTAAACAAACTCAGGGCTCACGCATGCTAAGCAAGAACTATACTGCTGAGTTACATCCCATCATAATTCTGTTTGAAAGCCATCTCTGAACAGGCAAGATCTCAATAGAATCTCTTCCCGTCCAGTCCTGGTGTATATAGGAAATACAAGTTTATTTCAGTAGCAGCTTATAAATGTAATTTATTTTTTAAACGGTGTTACATCATCCTAGCTAGCCTTAAACTCTGTATAGCCAAAATGTCCTTGCATTTTCTTATCCTCCTGCCTCCACCTCTTGAGTGCCAGAACTGCAGCTACCATACTCAGTTTTATGCAATACTAGGGACCAAACCCAGGGCTTCATGCATGCTAAGCAAGTACTCTACTAACTGAGCTACATCTCTAGTCCCTGTGAATATAATTTTTAAAGTAAACTTACTGAAAATTAAAGCATTTTTCTCAACCATAGTGTTTTTTCTCTGATTCCATGTATTAGCAGTATTGAGTTGTATCTGAAGTTAGGCTGCAAGTGGATTTAAGCATCCTTTTTTCTTCTGCCTTCCTCTCCATAAAAACCAAATTTATTGGGGCAAGAGAGATGGCTCCGTGGTTAAGAGCATTGGTTGCTCTTGCAGAGAACCTGGGTTCAATTCCCAGCACCTATATGGCAGCTAACAACTGTAACTCCAGTTCTAGGAGATTTGATGCCCTCTTCTGAACTCCACAAATGTTGTACAACATGGGTGCACTTACATACATGCAAGCAATACACTCATACACATAAAGTAAAAATAATAAATGAAATATTTTTAAAAAACAGTTTTATTTTAAGGCATCTTTTTCAAGCTGAGAATGTGCCCCATGGTGAAGCACTTGCTTAACACAAATGAGGCCCAGGATTCAGTCCCCAGCACTGCAAAAACAAACAACAAAAACCAGTTCTGTGATGTCTTTCCTGAATGGGTTATGCCTCACCTGGAATGTTTAAGTCCTTGAGACTTCCATGTTCTTGGAAGCCAAGGAGGCCCTCTGGCTGCACAGGTTCCCTAAGGCACATTCCAGGAAGGCTTCCCTACCCTGTTCCTGCAGCCTTTCATCTACTGCTGCCAGACTCTCCAGGTGTACCAGCATCAAAGCTGAAGGGAAAGGGGCCCTCCCAGTCAGGACATATCTGAACTCACACTCCCCTCAGGTGCTGTTTGATATGCTGGATCATGGGATGAAAGCTGAATAGGAGAACGCAAGGCCCTATTTGTTTCTTCTCCTGAGAATGGGATTTGTGAAGAAACCTGGGGTACCACCAGAGCAGAAACACAAACACCTACTTATTTGTGATTACCTCTGGAGTCTGCCTCTTGGGGAAGGAGATGACAGGGCCATGGCTGTTCTGAGGCTGGGACTAAGAGTCAGTGGTAGAGCACTTGCTTAGCATGAACAGCCCTGGGTTTGATCCCCAACACTGCCTAAAAGAAGATTTGGTAATTTGCTCACTTCTAATCACTTTGTGATGAAGCAGTGAGGTGGACCATCAGCCAACTTTAAAATGGTTCAGTCTTAATTATCGTCCTCTTTTTTTTTTTTGGTTCAATTTTAATTTAAAAAAAAAAAAAAAAAAAAAAAAAACACCTGTAGAACAAGGACAGAGTCTTCTGCACTGGAGATGGGATGCCAAGGTTTTAAACTGCCAAGGAACATGTTTTGTCCCCAGCATCTAACTAAAGCTGTTTTTTGACAGATACATGGAAAGAGCAGGACTTGGCTTAAAAAGTAATAGGGTGAGACTGCCCTCTAGTGTTCCAGTGGAGTCATTGGTCTAGCCACATTATTGTTAATGGGCCTTTGGATTTGCACAGTGTAGATTATTACTGTGGAAGGAATTCAGGTTTATTCTCACACACTAGGATCAACAGTTGATGAGCATTAGCCAGCATTTGCCTATCTTTCAGCAGGCTTGTTTTGTATTTGTTTGGTTTTCCATGTATTTTTCAGAGTGATTTCATTGCAAGATTCCAGCTCCTAAAAGCAAAGGTCTGTCTTTATGTCTTGTCCTTCCAGACTCTTGTTCATTTAGCTGGACATAAAATTAGAAGATTTGCTGATGTGGAAAGGAATATTTTCTCCCATCTTTACCTCCACCCCCAGCAACAACAACAAAGAATTTCTTTCACTTCTCATTTGTTACTAAGCCTTCTCATCCCATCCCTCTGGTGTAAAGTTCCTTCCCAAGTGGTTGGATCATCCGAATCCCTCAGAGCTTACAGAACTCAGCTTCCTGGGCCTGCCTCCAGCCTTGCTGAATCAGTCTCTGTGGTTTGAGCCAGGAAATCTGCTTTGCAAACTTCCCAAGTGGTTTTTGATATACAGCCAGGCTTGGCAGCCAACTGCTATAAATCCCCATTTACAATTATTTCTCATAGCATTCTCCCTGACAGTGTCTCCAGAGGTCTTCAGCTTGTGTCACTTATTAAAATTGACCATTTTGAGATTCATTCAGAAATAGTCAGCATGGTATTCTAACTGGATGACATGAGAAGGATGAAAGGACCACAAGAGATGAACCAAAGGCATTTGCTCTGGTTGCCAGGGGTGCTGTGTTCATAGCAGAAAATACCAAAACTAGGACCTCTGTGCTGGCTGGGCAGGCTGTCCATCTGTAGGCTTGTTTTTAACATTCCAACTGGATAGGGGAGACAGGCTTCTGCAGTATTCAGTTACTCATTTTCACCCATTCTAAGTCATCTGGATTTCTAGATAATAGGACAAAGTAAGTGGCATTGTCTCCTATTTTGCATATGGAAACGGTGAGGCTTGGGAAAATTGTATCTGCTGAAGGTCACAAGCGTTGCTTGCTTTCAGATTCTTCATTTGAAGCCATGCCTGATTTTTGAGGCCAGTGTTGGCAAGGTCAGAGGACAGAGTTGCCAACCTGCTCTTTTTCACCCCACCAGGCCAAGCGAGCAGTGCAGCGAGGAGCCACTGCAGTCATCTTTGATGTGTCTGAAAACCCAGAAGCCATCGACCAGGTAAACCTGGGCCACACCAGTACTCTTGTCTCCCTGGGAGGCATTTGCTTTAGTTAGCTTGTGTAGGCACTGTTTCGTGGCACCCTTGTCTTGGGTCCTTTGCATCTGTCTGCTGAAGTAATATGTCTGTTTGAACATCATACTGAAGAGAGGTATATGGAAAGTACTTAAAAGTCAGAGAGTTGGGGATGGGGACATTTTCAAAGTCTTATGAGTTTAGCCAGCCCAGCCCATCTTACAACAAGCATCAACCCAGCCTTGCCTTTCTGGGAATCCATGGCTATGATGCTTAAAAACTTCAAGGATTTTCAAACAGAGATTTAGTGTTCTTCTCCAGCTTCCCCTACCCCCTCTCTCTTGCTGAGGATGGAAGCTAAGAGCTTGTGTGTGCTAGATAAGCACTGTGCCACTGAACTATATTCCAAGCCCTTTCTTGTTTCTTAAAGTAAGCATGTCTTAACGAGTGCCCTCTCTTTTTTGTCAGCTAAACCAAGGCTCAGAAGACCCCCTCAAGAGGCCAGTGGTATATGTGAAGGGTGCAGACGCCATCAAGCTGATGAACATTGTCAATAAGCAGAAAGTAGCACGAGCAAGGATCCAGCACCTCCCTCCTCGAGTGAGTGGTACCTCTCCCCTGTGCCTTGTTTTCCTTGGACTATGGGCTTTCAGTCCTCTTGTTCTTATATCTAAAATACTGGTGTATCATAGGTTCCTACAGGTTGAGCTCAGCCATGGGACAGGAGGCCAAAGAAATTTTCACCCATATTCCTTTATAGAGAATTAGAAAAATCTTACAGAAATAAATGACCTATGCTATAAGGCTCTTGTTTCTCCCGCCTGGCATTTTCTCTTTCTGTCCCATCGCTCTCTCTGAGAAACAAGCTGAGATGAGGTATGGTGCACTTGCACTTGGCATCCTGTGTCTTTTTCCTTCCATTTGACCAAGAGATGAGAAAAGGCCTATACTTCCTTCTTTCAGTTTGGGTAAATTACCCACTTGAAACTCCCTGACACAGCTGAGACTGGCAGGCTTAATCTCTTCAGTGTGCTGAAGGGACACTGCTGGCATCTTCTTCCCAGCCTCAGACTAAAAGATTCTAGGAATCAGGCTGTTGCCCCATGTATTGTTTGTCTTCCCCTCAGAGTGACTGGACTGTTTCTACGTAGAATGGTTCTTTCACATGCACAAAGTATCTGTGTCAGGGTCCTTCTCAGCTCCATAGCAAGGTCAAGCCAATGCTGCTTCCCCCATCCCCCCCAAAAGAAGTTAGGATAGGTAGTTTGCAGAATTGATTTGCTGGCTTCTTTTTAAAGGATAAAAGAACTCTTTGGTAAATATGACTCATTCTAGTGGAAGCTGATATTTGTGGAAGAAGCATACAATTTTCTAAGTTGTTATAAACCATTAATTACATGGTTAGTAATCACTGTTCCCTCAAAACATGACACTCACTCCTTTGACCTATAACTGTGATTATTTGTGTTTTTGTGTTTGTTTGGAAGGGCCTTTCTTTTCTTTTCTTTTTTTTTTGAGGTCAATTCTCACTGTGTAGCCCTGGCTGGCCTGGAACTCACAAGGTAGACCAGGCTGACCTCAAACTCACAGAGATCTGCTTGCTTCTGCCTCCCAAGTACTAGAACTAAAGGCATGTGCCACCAAGCCCATCATGAGAAGGTTCTTTTATACTAGTGCTAGAGAGCTTTGCACTGTTCTGATGGAGGCCAAGCTTTAAAAATGTCTCCCTTTGGGCTGGAGAGATAGCTCAGTGGTTAAGAGCACTGGTTGTTCTTGCAGAAGACCCAGGTTCAAATC